GGATGACTGTGGAAAAACCAAGGGATGCTTCAGGTCAGTCTGAGATAAGAGTGCAAATACCTTTATGTTTGCAAATGCTGACTGATTGCATTGGAGACCTTGGTAAATGTTCCATATTCATTTTAGTAAATGTTTATTTTTTAAGAACATACTTTGTAGTTATGGACTATATTATTTGAGGAAACAAGATTATTTAAGGATGTACATCATAGTTACAGTTATCTCATGTTTCTTGTATTTTCTTGAAGCGCTTAGAAAACCAGGGCTAAGAAGATCAACAGAGTAATACTGTGTGTAATTAATTGCTTGCGGTACTCTTTAAGTACTATACATTCTTACACTAGACGAATAATAATTGCAAACACTTAATTAACGGTACTTTGTGTATAGCACAATATAATATGTTTTACTGCCATTATACCAAAATGCATTCTTCTAGTTTTTTCTTGAAGAAACGTAATGAAGTTCCATAGCAGGAAATTGCAAGGAAAAGTTACATGTATTTCCAATTCCATTTAGGTACGGTAAACCTGGATGCAATGCGGAGACTTGTGACTACTTTCTAAGTTACCGCAGAATAGGAGCTGATGTTGAATTTGAGTTGAGCGCCGATACTGATGGCTGGGTGGCGGTGGGATTTTCCTCCGACAAGAAAATGGTAAGACATGTACAGTTCTTCATGTTGACAGCGTGCACACCTTTCCACGCTAGGGTATAAATGGTTTAGATTTGATCTGTCACAGACAAAGCGTATGAGGAAAAACTGACTTGCTGAAGACCAGGCACTGTTTGGTAGCCAGGCTGGGAGCAGAAGCCAGGCCTACTGCCTCCCAGAAGACTGTCTTATCCTTCCTAACATGTCCTTTCCCTTCTTCTCTGAGAATTACAGCAGTATTTTGGTTCAGGTCTGGATGTCTGAACATTACTAGCTTTTTGCCTTTTTATTCGAAAAGCCCTCAGGGATAAGCCAATTATGTCTTTATGTCAGTGTTACTTGGACAAAAGGCACATCAGAAACTAAATAGCAAATAATTTTCTTCTTCAGTAAATCAGCTGAATTTCAGCCATATAAATATGGCTTTCCCTGTTGAACTTTGAAAATCTGTTTGTTTCTTTCATGCCTGTGTGTTGTTCCAGGGAAGCCACAAATGTGTGACAAAATGACTCCTCCTAATTTAAACATACATGCTCTAGAAAGAAGTCTTGTTAAGATTTCTTATTCTCTCTCTCCTGGATTTTATTTGGTTTTGTTTTATGCTAAGTCCTGTGTTAATTTTTCATTTAAAAGCTTCACTTTTCATTGTGTCTCAATGAGCAAAACAGGAGCATGTTTTGTCTGTGATCCTTGGTAAAATGTTTAGGATTAAAATGCAGTTCATAATGTAAGTGTTTGTATACAGAAACACTCCTGAGTGTATAAAACTACTGAGCCTATGTCCTAAATCACAAGTCAGAGGACAGGGCTGTTCCTTGTACAGTTGTAAGCAGCAGTCTGAAAAAATACAGAATTGACATGTCCCCTGCTAGGACCCACGAAAATGAATGGGAAGACTTGGCGCTGACTTTACAATGTTTTTATCGGATCCAAAATGAGAACTAGAAAGAAAATGTGAGGGCAGGTGCTTTTCAGTCGTTACTGTAGATGTTTTAGTAAGACTCTGTAAATAAAGACAATAAAGATAGAAGTCTTTGTGTCATAAAGAACAGTTCATGCCACAAGACAATCATTACTATAGATGTTTTAATATGACTCTGTAAATAAACACAATAAAGATAGAAGTCTTTGTATCATAAAGGACAGTTCATGCCACAAGAAACAGTTCATACTTTTAATGTTGTGAGAAACAGTTTTACAGCTAAATTTTGGGAAGAGTTTAGATGCCTGGAAGTGCAAGTACTCAGCGGGGTTTTCAAAGCAGCTCAGCACGTTTAAGTATTTGGCCCCAAGCTATCAGAGACTGTGTTATCAGTTTGTAACTCTGATGTACCTGCAGTAGGTCCCAGGGTCCCACTGCCTGCCCCTCCTCAGCCCCTTGGAAAGCACCCGTTACGTTTCAGCCCAGGCACACCAAGCAGCATGTTAGGTCTCAGCTTCTGGTAAGACGAATAAAGCAAATGTGAACTGAAAGATTTTGCTTCCAAATTTGCTCCGCATGTGTTCTAATGCCCATCAGTCAGCTGGACTAAACCAGCTAGCATTTGTCTTCCTCTCTCGTTCTCCTGCTGACTTCATCCTTTTTCATAACTTCCAGGATGTTTTGGTGCCCTGGGATACAGAGGCTGTAATGGTAAAATGACTGTGGGTCAAAACAGCTTGGCTGTGAGAAGTGGGCTGTGCCTTGGAGGCCCTAATCAAAATAGTGTGACCTGGATAGCTACAGAAGTTCAGGAAAAAAACCTACTTTGTGTCCTTAATAGACTTTTTTTTTTTTTTTTAAAAAAAAGGACTTAAAAAAGTCCTGTGACCTATTTCTTTCTCTCAAATAATATTACACTTTTCCACTTGCAGGCTTTTGTGCCTAGGCAGGATTTTTTAATGTCATTCTATTAATTGAGATTCAGAATGCTTTTTTATTTTTATTTCCTTTTATTTATTTTTTTTTTTACTATGTGACAACAGCTTTATTTTTGCCTCTGTACTTAAGAATGAGGGATTTGTACTCACATGTATAAAAATTAAGCTTGGAAAATAAGTCATGGAGAGCAAGGATAGGCTCAAGACAGAAGCTGGAAAGGTTGCCTGTAGCAGTACCGAGGTGCAGAAGCTGTTCAAGCACGTGTTTTACCTAGTTGTCCCCCTTTTCCCTCACTTTTGGCACATCTTTTACAAATCTACATAGCAATCTTCCCAGAGAGCTGACATGCACGCTTTTTCTCTCCTTTCCCTATAACAAAGAACGGCGAGATGATCACACTGGCAAGCATCGTGTCTATCATCAGCGTGACATATCAGAAGGATTCGTATAGGAGAAGTAGGGCCTGTATTTAACGTGGCACCGATGCCCGTGGCAGTGGCATTCAGTAAAATGCCGTTCATCCAACTTGCGGAGTGTTTCAGTGGTTCTACATACTAAGGCTTCTATGAGAAAGTACTGCTAAAATTAATGCTAATCCCCGAGTGATACAGTGCTCTACCACTTTGGCAGTGACCTTGAGCAAGTGTTCTAGCCACTGGTTTAATATTTCTATGAATGACCTCTACAAACAATTGTCTCACGCTTCCTTCTGTCCATTGTTTCTTTGCTGGACTGTAACGCTCGGTGGCTGTTTATGCTGTGTGAAGAAGCACGTATTGATTACTTTTTTGCTTGTATCTCATGGTGTTCTGTATTCTGTTACTACGTGCCGAACATTTTAATTTTCTCTTAAGAAGTGATGTTCCCTTAAGTGAACATGGGAAGAGATTAGAAAAGACAGAGTTTAATTTATGTTATTATTTTCCCATATTTAGTAGGTTCATCTCCTCTGTTTTACAAGATTATATTGGCTTTCTGTCCATGAGTTGATGCAGTGGATTTTGTACACATCGAGGATTCAAGACTGCCAGTTTTTATGAAGCAGAACCCCAGAATTTCACAGATTATGAGAAAAAGCAGCCTTCCACCGATCAATTAATTATGTGATGTCAGGGTGATATCATGTCTTACAAATATGTTATATGTGTTAGGTAAAATGACTCTTAGAAAGATCCAAAAGAGAATTCAGAGGTAGTGAGGGTAACTAAATATTACCCTCTACTTTGTGCTTTTCGGTCTGCTTGAAGACACGTGGTTAGGGAAATGAATATTTGTGTGTATATAACTGAGAAAGAAGGAATGAGAACCCCAGGTTTTGATTAGTTTTTAATAATTGAAATTATATACATAAATGAGGAAATGCTTTGTGACACTTTTGTTTTCCTTCTACCTGTATGTTTTTACCATGTAGGGAGGAGATGATGTCATGGCTTGTGTTCATGATGATAATGGAAGAGTCCGAATCCAGCACTTCTATAATGTTGGTCAGTGGGCTAAAGAAATCCAGAGAAATCCTGCTAGAGATGAAGAAGGGGTTTTTGAAAACAATCGTGTAACATGTCGATTCAAGCGTCCTGTATATGTTCCCCGAGAGGAAACCATCGTAGATCTGCACTTGAGTTGGTACTATCTGTTCGCCTGGGGTCCAGCAATTCAGGGTAAGTTGATTTCCATGCTTCTGACAGAACTGGGATGTCATAATTGATAAATGTCTTTCAATTACAATTTTCTTACTAGACCCCCTTTTTTTTAATGAACTAAAATTCTGGCAGCGTGAGCCTTAAAAGCAGATAAAAAGGAAGACAAGGTAAATAACAGAATCATACATGTTGTGTTTTTGTGGCTATGTAGTTATTACCCCCACTTCCCAAAGCTAAATTTAGAAGAACTTCATAACTAGAAGTTCTGAATTCCTTTGAAGGTCGTTTATTGTTTACTTGAATTTCATTTGTCTTATTCAGAAGTTTAATTTCAGAAAGCAGAGAAATGACCCTACTCACTGACAGCGTAATGTTGCATGCTCCTGTAGGTTTGAAAATTACTTGACTGTCTACCTGTTTCTTTGGTAGAGTTAGAGAAAAAAGCCTCTGACATTATTTCTTTCTGCCCTTACCTGTTAAAGGTTCTATAACTCGTCATGATATAGACTCACCACCTGTATCAGAGCGTGTTGTCAGTATTTACAAGTATGAAGATATTTTCATGCCATCAGCTGCCTATCAGACCTTCTCTTCTCCATTCTGCTTGCTCCTCATTGTTGCACTGACCTTCTATTTATTGATGGGAACCCCATGACTGATGGAAAACAGCAAGAATTTGTCAGTGGAAGTTTCTCAGGATGGACTGCTCTACGGATGGACGATGCATTTTTCTATTGGAATTTATATCACACCGCCATCATCATCTAGCTGCTTTTGAACATAGTTAGCTTCTCAGAAGAATGAAATAACCATCTCCTTTGAGTGGCAGAGTGGTGGCAAATCATTTAAGAATAATCAGTGAACACATAGGAGAATATTTTTAGTGTTGTGACTACTTGCTTAAAGATAACGAGACTTTTGTAAAATCAATATGCGTGCGTGTGTGCGTGTTTGGGAGGGGTGTCTGGATGTGTGTTTAGGTGAATTTAGTGATGGACATCTTATCAAATAACAAAATTGCCTTCCAAATTGCTCCCCAAAAGCAAATTTGGGAAAACATTATTATGCTGTTTGGTAGTTCTGGTGCAGACAGCACAACTCCAAGTGCAGTTTCTGAACTTAAGATAAGGATACCGACATAGCAGTATAAAACCTGCCCTCCTGTAACGGACAGTTCTCCCAGCTGTTTTTATATTTATCAAGGTTTACTTGCTCTGGTACTTTCCAAAACTAAACTTGCATAATCAAGCATTAACATGATATTTATTTTTTTTTTTCAATGGAAAAGAGGTGGTGAATGTCTTTATAACAATAGTGTTTCAACAGCCTTCTTAAAAGAAATGGCTACTTCTTTTATGAATGAGATACGGAGTTATTTAAACAAGGGGAAAGGAGAACACGGTAATGTAAATTCTCCATACATAGGAAAATCAGATGTAAAACACAGAGAATATAGAAATTCCCAACAAGCCATAGGACATCCTCCCAATAGATGAAATCCTTTTTTTTTTTTTTTTTTTTGTGAAAGAGAACAGTAATATTGCTGACATGTAAATATGTTTTTAAGCAGTTGTGTAGTAGTACAAAGTAATCTGTTTTACTGTGTTGTATGCCTGTATATCCTGTTCATGTTAAAGATGAATATGGGCAGCTGGTGTTAACTTAGAAAGAAATGGAAATATAATTGAGATTATTTGTTAGGAAAGATAAGGATTAATATGATGAGCAGTATCTTTAGTTTCATCAAACCACTGCTAAAATGTAGTTACTGTGGAAAAAGATGAGCTAAAGAGGAAATACATTAGAATTTTTTTTTATCACGAGTAAGTATTACAAAGATGAGTCCTAAGTATTACTGAAATGGAAAGTGTCAAGTTATTTATGAGCCACAGAATATTATGAAAAACTGATTTATTGTGGAGAATTTCTGTTCTTCACATAATAGGAAGTGTATGACACGTATACACATAGTAGTCAAATGTGCTTAGATAAGGTTGCTCACTCACTTCCCAACTTGCATTGAAATTCTATTTAAATAGAATTAAAATTTGAATTGTGCCAAAATTCTATCATCTAATGTGGTATGCTTGAGGTCTCTGTAACATACAATCTGGTAAAGTATGTGATGAACCGCATTTCTATTTTCGTTGCTGCATAGAGTAAAAGGATTAACTAGCTTTGCTGGGTTTGCATCATTATTCACAGACTGAAGTTTGTAGACTAATTTTTTTTTAGGTTCAGCCTTCTTCAAATCTATACTTAAAGTATATGAATTAGGTTTGAAGATGAGTTTATCTCCATCACAAACTATTTATCCCTATTTCAAAAAGAAGATTGCTTAGTCATATATATTTTCATGGATGTCTTTAAGAATTTGTTCACTTAAAATTGCTGGACTAGAGTTCTGGAAGGGAAATTTGGAATGAAGCGAACTTTAAGAGTGCATATAGTAGCTTTATTTAGTATCAATTACTTCTCTCAAGTTGGGTAACCTACTCATCATCTGATGAAATACCTGGCAGAGATCATCTAATAAGGGAGGTTGGCTTTGGTCCATCATAGCTATAAAACTGAGCCTTAAGACTGGCTGAAAATGAGTTTTATATTCAGCAACCAGCTGAAGTGAAGAAATCATTAGGGCAAATTCTTCTTCCTTTGTGCTTATTTGTAGGCAGCTGAGAGAGCTGAGATACTGCAGTCACTTCTCAGACATCATAGCTATTTAAAGTAGCCTCAGGGCTGCTTTAGTTTATGGCCTTGCATGTACTGTTTTAGTTTCAGGTATTTACCTGATTACCCACTAAAGGGCTAATCTAATAATTGAAAGGTACTAAAGTAGGATAGAAACCGATTTTTGCTCCTCTTTTCTTCTTTAATACAGTGCTGGATTTAGGATGGCCTGGCTGGACCCAAGCACAGAGGTACATTAAAGATGATAATGATAATAATGAGGCAAATGTGCAACTCCTGTAGAGCTGCTTTCCACTGACCTGGAGTCAGATGCGTTTACATTTCGGGCTGTAAAGCAACAGCAAATTCAGAGCAGAGGCACAGCGCAGCTGCTCTTTGCGGTGGACCCGGTAGGTCCCCTGCCAAGTATGAACTGCTTCAGTCTTCAGCTGTCCTCAATTAGGGTAAAAATACAGTTTCTTGCCTTTTTCAGGTTACTTGTTAAGAGCGCTGTCTGGTGTTTTTGTCGTCGTATTTTTCTCTTGTTGAAGTCTTAGCAGAAATGTGCACTTCAAAGTGCTTAATTAACACTAATTTAGTATTTCTAATCAAATGGGAGGAGCGAAAGCCCACAACAAGCAGCAAAACAATCTGTTCTTTGGCATTTCAGCTGGTGGTTGAGTTTAGCTAGTAGCTAGTAAACTGTTCCCAAATTTTGCATACCAGTTCCCAGGTATTAAAGCTGTAATTCCTGCTCTGAACACTTTGCAGGTAGCAGAAGTAAAATAGAAGAAACTTTAAGGAGAGCTGAAAGCCGAAAATAACTGTGGCAGATTAGAAGCAAGAGTTGGGGTAAATTCCTCTTAGTGAAAGAAGTTTACTGTCTTGTGGCATTTTGTCTGAGAGTGGCTCTTCAGAGCGGGGAAAGCAGGAATAGCAGATTCCGGTTGGGAAACAAGACAGGTGAGAGTGCTTAGAAATTAGTAGTTGGGAAGAAATATGAGAACAAAAGGCCATAAAAGAAATGAAAAGGTTTAACTTTGTACGATACTTGGTAAGTCTTAATATTTGAGTGGGCGTAGTAACTTGTCATGGAAGATATTTTGTTTTTCCACGATTTTTTTTCCTTTTAATATTGAAAAGCAGGATTGATCCCTGTTATACAAAGTTACTACAAAGTAACTTTCTTCAAAGTAACTTTTAAGTGATTAGGGCATTTCAAATAGTTTTTCAGATTTCTCTAATTAACAGGTATGTTGTGGTTTAACCGGAGCCTGGTAATAGGACCACACAGCTGCTCGCTCACACCCCCCAACCCCCCTCCAGTAGGACAGGCAGAAGAGGGAGAAAAAGGGGGGGGGAACCCAGCTCATGGGTTGAGATAAGGACAGTTTAATAGGACAGTAATAAAAAGAAAAAAATAATAACGGTAAAAGAATATACAAAATGAAGTGATGCAACACAAATTGCTCTCACCACCCGATGATCAATTTCCCAGTGCGTCCAAGCAGTGATTGCAGATCCCTGCCTCCCAGCCAACCCCCATTTATATACTGAGCATGACGTCTGTGGCATGGAATATTCCTTTGGCCAGCTTGTCCCATCTATGGTCCCTCTCAGCTTCTATGGGGAGCTGAAAAAGGCCTGGGCTAACATTACTTAGCAACAAGTAAAACAATATGCATTATCAACGTTCTTCTCATACTAAATCCAAAACACAGCAGCCACTAGGAAGAAAATTAACTCTATCCCAGCTGAAACCAGGAAAAGGTACCAACACAAACTAGAGGGAAAGGAGGCAGAGATTGCCTTCTCCAAATGGAATCGTTTTTATTTTCCTTATGGTGACTTCTAGCAGGCAGCTGTTGAAGAACACATTTCCAGAGTGTGTGTATTTTGAGAGTTACTTGCTGCAGGGTGACCTAATAGAGAGGCATAGAGTTTAGAAAGTGCATGTTACAGTATGATGTCCTTTGGAAATTTAACTTTGTTTATTAATTAGAAAGACAGTACTGGCAAAGACCATAAGGCATTATTTAATGTCTCTGAATATGTTCCTTCCCCGCAGAACAAAATTCAGTTGTGACTATTGCTTGTTATATTAACCATATTATCATCCTTTGTTCAATCTGTCAGTGTTATCTAGAATGTTGTATACTTAAAGTTTGTAAGTTAGTTGGAAGAGAAATCAGCTGTTGGTATTTGTGACAGTGCCTATTGCAAAGGGACCTTGTTTTTTGGCTGTAGTGTCTGACTGGTACCCCACTGCAAATAATAAGATAGGCCTGAAATTACACTAATAATAAGTAGGATAGGAAAGAGAAAAAAATAAGAAGACTGGCCAGACTTTTGGAAAGTAGTTTTTTATTTCAATGGAATCAAATAGCTATGTATATTTTTATGTATAGGTGAGATACTCCTAGATGCTAATTGATTTGCCTCCAAAAAAAGCCTAGCTGATTTGATAATGTCATTGGATACTGGATGATGCTTTCTCCAAAATTCTATCATTATAAGGGAATTACTCTGGTTTTGAAAGAGAACATGTTGATGAGAAAAGTTTGAAATCCCTCGTGGCCTTGTCCTGTTTGATTGGTTTTGCAATATTCAGATAGCAAGAAAATAAACATTTGTGGTCTCCCTAATCTGAGGAAACCCCCAGATTGGGTTAAAAGTTATCAAACCTGTGTTTGGCGCTGACTTTTCCAGTTTTCAGCACAGGGATTAGAGAACAACCAGAGCATGGTGTACATCAGCAAACCCAGGCAGCGGTTTTGAAGTTTGCTTTGGGGTGCCACATCCTGGGTCTGAACCGAGAAGAAAAGCCCCACAACTCCCTCCATGTACTCAATGGCTACTGCCACATGGAAATAACGAACAGGGTGACCCACACTACACCAAATCCCTTAAATATGCATATCTTCTTTTTTTGGTGTTCTCACTGTGAGTGTTAATGCCTAGTCTTCCTCCCAAAAGTTCCGTGCTCCTTGTCACTAGCCTATGTCCTGTCTCCGCTTCCACAGATGCCTTACGCTATTCAGTGAGATGATCCTGAGAAGTCTTAGCCCAGCTGGGAAGAGGAGTTAGTGGGTTACGGAGGACTGGCACACAGCTGTCTTCGTGATTATCCAGGTCACAATTAGAAATCTGTATCGTTGATTGTACTGCAGTTATCTGTAAGTAAATGACTGCTATAAGGTTAAGGGAAAATGCAGCTGTCCCTACTTTTTGTCTGTCTTCTCCTTACTTTCCCATCTGGCCAGTGCATCACACATTCATAAAGAAGCAAATTATTCTCCTTTTAGAGAACAGACCCTGTGTCTGGTCTTTCTGGTCTCTTCTGGGTCCACTGGATGTTTGCACTATGCTGTACTCTAGAGGCAGAATTAAAGATAATATACAAACTTAGTAACTTATATCCATATTTAAATTGCATTTTGTGACTCCTTGCTTTGAAACACTGACGTGTAGCAGGTGTACTCCCCCGCCC